TAAAAAAAGTGATTGCAGGAAGATTTAGTGTCCGATATATACCCCTACCACATTGTACGGTGTAATAAGAAATTGCATGAAATGGAAAACAAAATGGCGACCTCGGATGGATGCTTCGCGGCAGCTTCGTTAAATGGTCCCTTTCTTTACTTTTGCTATGCATTGGCACGAGCTTAGATCAAGATCTATCTGCAAATGTTGTTTTAGGAAGTTTATTTTCGTCCTCATGTCAACAATGCAAGATAAAATTGTCAGTAAGATGTGTGGAAATGTCCTGTACCATAGTGGTATAGTTATTGTACCGTTCGTAGTCCCATGTGTGCTGGTTTTGACTTATGTTTTTTTTTTTTTACTCATTCGCCGCAAAGGCCGCACCCCAACTTTTTGATATGTTCTCTTCCAAAAATACTGCGGCCTTTACGCCGGCAAATACGGTAGACATTCAAAGAAAATCACAAATATGGCCAACAATACATCACTAGAAACCAGGAAGCTTACAGTTGACATTCATATAAAGTTTTAGGTCAACCTTGTTTGATATTAACTTTCCTAATGCCATGATTCAAATTAAATCAATATTTAAAATCAATGAATGTCTACTTTAAGGATCATAAATCTCAAGTGCCCTAGTAAACCAGGTGATTGTTTCCCAAAGACTAAGATCGACTTCAAATTGATCTTTAGATAATCTTTTTTTCTTCAATAATGAACTATCAATAAAATGTAAATTCTGTAAATTTGTGACCATGATTTGTACGTCCCTTGAGAGACCAATGCCAATAGATGGTGAGAGAAAACGGTGGCATGAACAGCCTGCCATAGTTAGTCCAACTTAAAGTCGATCTTAGTCTTTCTGAACCACCCCCCAGTGCTCATTATCTTTATGATGAACATGTTGTAAATGCAGATCAAGATCCAAACAATTCAAAGATGCATCTTTAGTTCTAATATGTTGTGCATTTATAAACAATTTCGTCTGAAAAGTTGTCCTGTATTGTTGTCATTCAGGTTATACATGTACATGTAGGTGCTTTGGACCGGCAACAAGCAAATGGATTGTTTGGTCAATTGTAAGCAAAATTAGTATGGATATTTACCTTTTTGAGGCACTTCATGATTATTTTGAAGCACAATTTTTTTGTTTTGCTTCAACATTAAACCATATCACAGACACTGATAACACCTAGGGCCATGCATCTCAGATTTAACATTGTTAAACGATGCCTTCAAGAATCAAGAATTTTCCATGGCCTAAATATTACCCAACCAATCCTCAAAGATAAAGAGCCTATGGTATAGATTCTATACATGTAGAAAGGATATGACTCTTATCCTTACCATGCACATGAACCGTGCTTTACTGCTTGTGGTTTGCAAGATGAATCATGTGATAAATAAATCGACTCCTAATCCAGATTTATTGATATCCCCTGACAGCATAGCTCCCATTTAGGTCCCTTGTAAAAAATGTAAAATGATGAAATAGCCCACCCCTTTTTTGCCCTACCATTGCCTAGTGGTAGTCTGTATGTACAGACTCTAATTTGAACTATGTTGCATCTATCAAAGTCTAAACCAACTTTACAATTGTTGTGGGTTAGCTGCAGTACATGGTATGCTTGATGGTATGCTTGATGTGAAGCGATGTGACATGATGAAGAAATACCCCCCCCCCCCCCCCCCGTTGTTTCAGCCTATCAATGTACGAACAGACTGTAATTTGACACTAAGAAAAAGTGTCATGAGTTGAAGTCTAACCAGTTTGGTTTAGCTACAACTCATAGGCCCATGTAACTGATAGTCTACAGCTCCTATGTAGTTCAGACCCGGTTCATTGTTCTGACTGTGAAGGGTTTTGTGTGTGCAAACTCACCTGATAAGAGATTATGAAAGGCATGCCGTTTCTGAGCGGATATTGTGAAAAAATAATAACTACAGTGTAGGTCTACATGTGCGTGTATGCTCCATAACATACTGATAAGCTATATTCATTGGATAACAGCAATTATTTCATGAAAATACTGTTTTAAAATGATCTAGTACTAGATCACAGAGAAATCAACTGTAGACTTTCATTCATATATTTAATCCTTGTGTTGTTTTTTTAGAGAGAAAATAAATCTGTAGAGAGAGAGAAAGGAAGAGAGAGAGAGAGAGAGAGAGGGGGGGGGGTGGGAGGAGCCTGGAACAGAGCACATTTGAGTTTGCTAGTGGGCTTAAAAAACGAAGGTCCTTTGAGCTTAGCACTTGTTTGGTTTCTAGCGAAAAGACCCATTCTTTGGCTCATTCATTCTACGTATTCCGTGAAGCCAATGAAAGGCTCTTTAGACTGTGAGTAAGAGGAAGTACACTGATTCATGACTGTTGTGAAACACAACACCATATAAGAACACGTACATACATACATACATACATACATGTATAACATTATTATCATCAAGTGGGCCTAAGTTATATCTGCACTCCAATTGACAGTTTCAATATAGTGTAGTTCGTCAGAAACTTAGCTGATGAAACATGACGGAAACTTCCACTTACTATGATTTTATAGCTATTAGCTGTTAATATGAATTGATTTCTTTATATAGTAATAAGCATGATACACTACACTGTGAATTGTACATTTTACATGTATCATTGGCAGTTTCAATATAGTGTAGTTTGGCAGAAACTTAGCTGATCAAGCATTACGGAAATTTCCACTTTACTGTGATTTTATAGCTATTACCTGTTTATATTAATAGATTTCTTTATATTTGATAAGCATGATACACTGCACTGTGAATTGTACATTTTATATGTACATGTATCATTGAGTGGACCCTATATTACTATCTCCACTTCAACTGACTAGTTTTGTGCATCAAAAAGTTACCATGTACAATGTAGTAATGTTATTAAAATATACCACCATATCCTGCAGTGTTTGAAGATGAATCTCTAAATTTCCCCAAATTTATCCCTCAAATTTGTTTTGTAATTCTAGTAAAAAAGACAGGCAAGAACATGAATGTTTCACCAGATTCAGACACAAATTGTTTAGAGAGCTACATATTCATGCGTACATACTATTGCACATGCTGCTATTTCGTTGGTAGTCGTCTGTCTGTGCGCTCATGCTCTTTCTGCCATGCATTATCTCTCTTTACGACCTGCCCTATTTAGGTCAAGTCATTAGCGATTTGAGTGGTTGTTAATTACAGCCCACTACCTTGCTTTATGGCGGAGTCTGATGAAGCTAGTCACCACATTGTCTCCTCTCCAGAACGAAGCTTAATTTTCAAAATGGATAATGCGGGATAATGTGGCTGCTGCATGCCTCTCTCCTTCCTCTATGGTCCGCCGCCCATTTGATGAACGTAATAGTGATACGCTTTTAACGTGCGTTTAAGCGCTTCAGAGAAAGGGCAAGGGAATGGCTTTGCGCTTGGGCGTTATTAATACCCACCACAAGCCGTCGTTAATCTTTCATTTCAGGGCTTAGAGCCGCGGCGGGATCTGGTTTGCCTCTTTTTGCGAGGAGCGATACGGCGGCTGTTTCTACGATTTCAAGCTCGGCAGGTTCTATCGAAAGGCGGGGGCAATACGACACTTGTGCATTTCAGCGTAATCGTGCCACATGCTTTGCAGTCTGTCATGGCAATGTGATTATTTGTAATAAAAGATCCTTGATTGTAAACCGGTTTTAGGGAAAATGATACAGCCCGTATTGGTATCAGATAATTCCATGAATATTTTCTTTCCTCTTTGTAAGAATCGACAGAGCCAAGCCATGTACATGTATATGTAGAACAAAAATGAAGGAAAGAATCACTGATGCTCATCGCTCAGGCTTCATTCATCTTACTTTTAGTTTAAAAACATAAATGTAATATATGAGTCCAGGGGGGTGTTTCACAAAGATCCTATTGAACTTATCTCTAAGTTGGACTTAACAATTATAGAAAGCCGTTAGCATCCTTGAAAATATTTTGTAAAAGTTATTTCAAAATGCATAAAATGTTGATTCAAATCATTCATATTTTCTATTATCATGGGAGATTTCATGTTCTTGATGTGGAATTTATGAAAAGTCTAAAATATTTCATTTTTTGCTTTTGGAAATATTTCATTTTAAGGCTACAAATGGCTCTCCATAATTTTTAAGTGCAACTTAGAGTTAAGTTAGACTTAGAATCTTTGTGAAACACCCCCCCCCCCCATATATGTACTTGTAAAGTTGTAAGTCAGCCTTTTTTTTTAATGTCTTACCAGTCATATGACCCTGTTTGTATACTGAACTAGGTTTAAGGCACCAGGAATTTCAGTTGTGTGTTATTATGCATTGCCTGCTTAGAGCCAGAAGGGCGTTAACTCTGTAAAGTTATGTGAGTAAATGCCCTTCTGGCTCTTAACAGACAATGGATCCCATGACACTGCATGAACGTTAACTTGTGTCTTTATAGAATGGTTTATTGATTTTGTTTTAACTTTGTATTCTGAAGTACATATAGAACCCTCTTTAAATACTTCCCAAGCCTTTGTGTTCTTGCACTATGTACACTGTACATCAAATTCTAGTTTGTTTATTCATTTCATTTTCATAAAAAACACAGTAAATGCAAATAAACATACAAGTATACAAAGAATGTTCAGTTTATACAATAGCTTCAAATGAAATAGGAGAACAAGGGAACAGCCCATGGTGGCCTTGTTTAAACCCTCTTTAAATACTTCCCAAGCCTTTGTGTTTTTGCACTATGTACACTGTACATCAAATTCTAGTTTGTTTATTCATTTCATTTTCATAAAAAACACAGCAAATGCAAATAAACATACAAGTATATATACATACAAAGAATGTTCAGTTAATACAATAGCTTCAAATGAAATAGGAGAACAAAGGAAAAGCCCATGGTGGCCTTTGTTTAAAAAAGTTCCCCCGAATATTATAATTTATATTATTTATATTACTCATGCAATCATTGAAACGTTTTCCTGCCTTTTGATTTCCCCTGCAGAACTCTATTCGACACAACTTGTCCCTACACAGCCGCTTCGTCCGGGTCCAGAATGAAGGAACAGGAAAGAGCTCGTGGTGGATGATCAACCCCGACGCCAAACCAGGCAAGTCATCAAGGAGAAGAGCATCCAGCATGGACACCACAAATTCAAAGTTTGAAAGGAAGAGGGGGCGCGTGAAGAAGAAGGTCCTGGAAGAGCGTGCAAAATGGGGAAACACAAGCCCGACACCGAAGTTAGAAGGAGAGGAAGGTGCTAGCCCGTTGCCGTTCAACTTGGCGACGACGGATTTCAGGTCGCGAGCCAGCTCGAACGCAAGCAGTTGTGGCCGTCTATCCCCGATCATGACCACACATCCAGAAATCGACATGCATGACAATGAAGTCCCGCCCATGTCTCCGATTCCCTTCCAAGATCTGCCGCCCTCTCAGGCGTACGATAGCCCAGACCCCTATCAGTCCACAGATCAGCTAGCCAAACTAGCCAAAGCAATGACCCTAGATTCAAGTCTAAGTGTAGAGCCCGCGATCCGCCACACACACAACAACGGTGGATATCTGTTCTCCCCGCAGAGCTACAGCGGATCCGACATGTCCCCTGTCCACAGTAACAGCCCGTATTACTCACAACAGGGCACTCCAGCCGTAAGTCCCCTAGGTCAGTGTTCCCCCATGCAGGAACTGCCACCCAGTCAGTATGGCATGCAACGGAGCTTCACGAATCTGATTCATGAGAATGAATCCATCATCCCTCAGGATCCCATGTTCGCGCAGTCCGCCGTCTTGCGCCAGCAGCAGTCGCCGCGACCCATGCCGAGCTGCCGCGAGGAGAGCATGAACCAGCACACGTCGCCTCACAGGCTGATGCCTTCTTCTATGAACCAAGGAAGCAACTTGGCCATGTTGCTCAACAATGGCCACAACACGCACACCACCAGCCACCACCACCACCCGCAGCCGTACCCCAATGGCGGTACCCCTCACCATGTACACCCTCACCATATACACCCTCACATTCACCACCACCATCCAGGCATGGTTCACGTGGACAGGTTCCCCAGCGACCTGGAGAGTGTTCAAATTGACCCCCTCAAAGGATGGAGCGATCTGGACGTGGAAACTATCCTGAGGAATGAGCAGGACTTGACCGAAGGACCTGACGCCAGCTTTGATAACATTGGGACAATAGGAACCACGGCGACGACCATGGCTGCTCCCAGCTGGGTCCATTAAACGGTAAGTCCATCTTCTTCGTACACATTTTCCATTGAGAATCTTGTATTTACTATGACTTCATCAAAGGCTCAAGTTTGTCTTCAAGAATGTCTTCAAGTTTGTCTTCAAGAATGTCTTCAAGTTTTTGCTAATCTACGAAGAAATCTTTCACTAAATCATCAGACTTTAAAATACACTTCTTGTGTTAGCCTTGCCATCATCAATAGTCTGTTTGCTCTCTATTCCCTGATGAAGAAGAAGAAGCAGTCATGATTCTGTCGTTGCCGGTCCTTAGACAATATCTTTCTGTCAAACCTCACTTGATTTTGATTACTTTCTTATCATATCTTTATGATTATCATAGCATGGTAGAACCTTCCAAGGTAGACAATTTTACCCCATAGCAACACTTGTGTTGAGTGAAGGATCCTTGACGACTCTGATAGGTCATTTCCGTAATGTAATCAAATTAAATGCACAAATCTTTGTTAAGTGCCTTGTTACAAATTATCTTATACACCTGTTACAAACTGAATTTTATTAGTCAGAATATGAATTGCATGCAGTTTGGTTGTCAGGTGGGACAAGCCATAGATGTTTGTCCTACCTAGCAACAACTAAATCATGCAATTTGCTTTCTGACTACTGAAATACAATCCTTTGTAACAGGTGAATGGAATAATTTGTAACATGGCACTATTGGACGCAAAGGGATTTTCCCTTATTGTCTTTCATCAGAAATTTGCAGGCTGCATTACCGGAAATTATGTTGATTGGAAAGGCCGACTAGCTTCCCTACTTGGAAAGTGCCTGGCTGGATGTAACTTGAGCATTTTGGAGTTGTGTCGTTGATAATGCTCACCTTCAACCAGTGCCCCATTTCACAAAACTTGTCATCAGTAACAAATGACAGTTTTTGTTATAAGCTACTGAAATCTCTGCTTCTGATTGGTTTTCAATAGATTTGTCACTGATTTTCGTCATTTGTCATTGAAAAAAAGCTTGGTGAAACGGGTCCGAGGTTGACACATGTTTTTACAATTTTTTTTTATTGATTTTATTTCTGAGTTCAAATAACAAATACAAGGTTATACATTTTTACGTAAGTATCAATAGCAAATCATGTCTGATACTATTATACAATAACCATAATGCAAAGCATACAAACAAGTTAAACTGATCTTTGTATATATTTTTTGTTGAACTAAAGAGTCACCAACAAACCAAGAAAGACTTAATTATTCATACAATCCCCATACATGTTTTTGTTTGATATGCATGTTCTTGAAAGCGTAAAGTTCTAGATCATTTACGAAGAAAGGTAAACTTGGTTGTGGTAATGGCAAAATGAAATTTGTTATGCTAGTGACAACAACAACATTATTTTCTTGCAGAATTCAAAGAAATGTACACTTAGCAAGTTAGCACACATTTTAATTTGTTAGAAAATGTAATGAAAGAAGAAAGATGAGATATTTACACTGGTTCTGTTCGGACTCCAATGTATCGTTTGCTAAGAGAAACAAGGGCATTACTTCTGTTCTAGATCTCAACAGATCATATGATTGTACAATGGTGGGCCTACTGAGATTGATTCAAGTACAGGGCTGTATTTAAAAAATGAAAAATAAAAAAAATGAAAATTACGGATGCATACAAATTGATGTGCTGCAATCTGACATTGACTATGTAGAGCAAATCAAATTAGATTGTCCTCTAGTGAATTATTACTGTTGTTTTTACCAGCAATTTGTTCCTTTAAAAAAAAATTGTGGTTTCATTCCGCATTCTCTCCACTCCCTTTAAAACTCTCGGGGAGCGGAGGGAGAGAACAGCCAGGTCAGTGAATTTGGAGTGCACTTGCACGGCGGCTAGAAGTGAGCCTCTACTTGATTTCTCATTCATGTATTCTCACCACCCCCTCAACCTAGATCTCAACAGCTTTGTTTCGTATTCCCCCTACCCCCCCCCCCCCTCCAAATCCTGGCCTTTTCTATCTGACCTCGGCTACGCTGAATTTTTCGCTCCTCTTCCCCCTCGTACTCGCATCCCGGAATGCATGCTTGAGCGAGGGATAGGATGAGGCGACAAGGCAGCGGTTGCTGAATACTTCATGTTGCGTTCTTTTGAACATTTCTCTAGTTATGAAGTTTTTACATGATATTATATCTTTGGCTGTGGAATAGACTTCCAATTTCTATTCAAACTCTGTACTCTATAACCTGGCATTAGTGAAACTTTCTGTCACGTTATTTTCAAGGCAGGCAGAGGTCTGAATAGTTTGCCAAACCCGAAGTAAGGGCTCTCGTTGCATTGTCTGGTACTTGGGATCTGTTCAATGTCCCAGCTATAGCATGATGTGGTTCCATTGAATTTGGATCTCAGCATTTGTACTTTTGGCAGCGACTGCAACTTTCACAGAAATTTGTTATGTTGTGGTAACTTTGATAGCCAAAAAAAAAAGGAAAGAAAAGAGTCCTTCGATCAAATTCCGATAAATTCAAAACCCCAAAACACTCAACTATTCGTATTTACTACTCAATAGATCTTCAGAATAGATTAAAGGAAGTTTTTCTACCAAAATACATTCATCTAACCAGAATGGAAGTTCATATTTAACCCATCCCGACCAACTGGCCCAGAATTATATACCGTGGGATACGATAGAGGTATATGTATCAATCTATCACTACCACAGGGGAAAAAAATTCCATTCAAACTCTAAAGCATGTTGTAGGTTAAACAAAATAGATTGGAAAACTTGTAACTTTCTAAAGGGGGGAAGAAAGATATCAAAATTTGTATTGTTATTGTACATGTAGGTCAAAGGTCACATTGGTAGGTAGGCTGCCCTCTTCTAATTAATTCATGCTGCTAGTACAACTGTGACATTGTTATTCCCCAGAAATAACCTGCATGCCACACTCAGCGCACAACGCTAGCTAATTAGCACCCGGGATAGATTAGAAGGGATGGTACCTCAGGAATTTAGGCAGTTAATCGTCTGTCGCGTGACTGTCACTTGTAAACTGCACTACTGTCTATCCACGCTACTGTACGAGTGCTTTAATACAGGAACTAAGTATTGCTCGAAATAAAAGTAGGAACCCTCACATCATGTCACCATTCATGACTGAATGTATCATTCCATAGACCTTGATGTGAAATGGTTAGAGGGTGTGTACTTTGTTTCAAGCAATACTTAAGCATGCAGTACAAGTACAGTAGTGTAAAAGGTACAGATAGTTCCATGACTGTTTCACAACAACTTCACTTTTGAAATAACAGCAGACCAGCCTATCAAGTAAACAGAATTTTTGCATATTTCTAGTGTTATTGTCTTTTGTATTATTTTCATAAGTGACGACACATTGCAAAATTCAATAAAATAACACTGAGAAAAACAACATGATGATGACGTACATATTCCATAAGGCATGTTACCTCGAACTTGAAGTAAACATCCTACATTGTATTGATTAATTTGCTATCTCTTTTCCTGACAACCTTGGGATTTTGTTTGCACATCTGTACTTTGGATGAAAAAAATATAAGTTCAATATTTCTTTGTTTTTGTTTTAAATTACAAGTTTGTGCATTACCTTATTTTTTGAGGTCCTTCAAAGCCATTATTTTTCTAGCAGCAATATCATCAGATGGGACTAAGGAGTATAATGAGCAGTTTTGTTAGCCTTTTCATGCCTCATTAGTGCTCTTTTATGCATCTAATTTATGAGTCTGCCCAGATGCCCGCAAGGATATTATTTAATGACGGTTGCAGTGTTCATCAGCAAAGTGGTGATCAGAGATGCAGCTTTGAGATGAGATTGAGAAGATCGCATCTCCGTCATCTGAAGGAATGAGATATGCAAGAGAAGAAGTCATCTGTTGAAAGCAAGAAGAATGTTAACTCTTTGCCTGTGTGAAATGGTATAAGGTTATGAGAATGTTACTGAAAAGATATGGCAAACTTAAGCTAATTTTGTCTTTTGGTTCCATTATGTGGCATCTTGTCAGCATATAGACTGTAGTATAGTACAGGACCACAGATGGATAATGTCGTTCACTCCATCAAAAAGTAATTACAAAGAGAGAGATGTGAGATTTTCTCTACATTTTGTCTTGCTATTTCGTAAACCTTAGCAACAGAACTGTTTCAAGATGTTCATTTGATGTTCATGGTACGCTCCAAGGGAACGTTTCAAGAGTCTGCATTTGTCTCTGTTCTTGCAGTGGGAACTTCAGTTCAAGTGTACTTGTTGCGACTGACCATGATGTTTTCCTGTGTCCTGGTAGAAAGTAGGAGCAGGAGAAGGAGGAGGATAAAGATGAGGAAGGGGGGGGGGTGAGAGGATGAGGGGGAGGAAGAGAGGATGAGAGGATGAGAGGATGAGGAGGAAGAGGAGGAAGAGGAGTCGATTATTACGAGTACTTCCCTTACCCAGGGAAAAAATTAATATTTATTTTTCGGGGGCTACTTTTCAAACTTGCCTGCATGAAATTAACACTCTAAAATTTGTTTTGCATTGAACTGTATCCAAATTTACAGGGGCTCTTTTGGGCATTTCAGGAGCTATTTTGCCCCGAGCCCCCGTTTATTTTTTCACTGCCCTTACCTACTATCTCTTCTCCTTTCTCTCCTCTCTCCTTCTCCCCTCTCTCCTTCTCCCCTTCCCTCTCTCTGTCTCCCCTCCCTCTTCCTCTCTCCTCCCTCTCCTCCTCCTCCTCTCTCTCCTCCCATCTCTTCCCCCTCTCCCCTCCTCCCCTCCTCCTCCTCCCCTCCCTCCTCCCATCCCTCCTCCCCTCCCTCTTCCTACTCCCACCTCCTCCCCACCCTCTCTCCTCCTCTCCATCCCTCCTCTCCATTTCATCTCTCCTCCCCCTCCACTATCTCCTCCTGACTGATGACTGGTATGTGGCATGTGGCCAAGCCATTAGCATCAGCAACAGATTTACCTAATGACATAATAAACTAAACTGTCCCCCAGTTATGTGGCCATAAATTGTGGTGAAGTGCCCATAGCTTTGGACTGTATGGCAGCTCATGCACCTCAATGAGCTCACTTAGCTTACC